CTTTTAAATGCTGGAGGGCTCTAACGATAGCCACTTGTGGTTTTCCAGCCAAATGCAAAGCAATCACACTATCACGCTTGAATTCCATCACAAATAACTTTTTTTCTGAAAAATTCCCACCAAAATGCTTTTGTGCGCTTGTAAACAATATAATGAGCTGTCACTAGAATAAATCTGACAGCTGTGGGACGAGCGGTTTAGAAATGACAGCAGTCTGAAGTTGGTTGCAGTTTTTTCATCTCACCTTGTATAGAATATATTGACAAGAATATTGATTCAAAATTTTACGTAAATACATAACTCTATGTAGTACAATTAAATCAAAAAAAAAAAAAAATTAAAATAAAAAAAAACTAATTAAAAAAAAATCCAAACAATAGAAAATGAAAAACAAATAATTGAGTATTCGTTATACAAATAATATTAAAAAATTAAATTGTTCAACACTATAGTGTGGAAGCTCAAAAAAATAAAAGAATAAATAGTACACAATACTAAAAAATCAAAAAATTTAAACAAACTATAAAATGCCTTACAGAAATTTGTTCCATATTAACCATTAAATAATAATAAAAGAAAAAAAATTTAATAATAATTTTGGTAGACATATTAAAACAGGTGCATTAAAAATAAAATAATATTATTTAAATAATATATATAATATAATTAAAAATATACGTTTATAAATTTACTTAAACAATAACAATAAAAAATATTAAATAAAAAATAATATTTTTAATGTGGTGTTTTATTAATAATAATTTTAATAATTTTAATTTCTTGTAATAGGGTAACTAAGAAAATAGAACCGTGTTTGACAACAACAATTAAAATATTAAATTACATTTATGTAAAACTGTAGTTTATGCGTTTTTTCAGCAATCAACTTAGCAAGTGCTTTGTTGTTATTTGATATAATTAATGCAGCACTTGACTGGTGGAATTATTGCATTATGATAGGTTCAAAGTTATGAGACTGACAATTGCAGTTCAAAAATATATAAAAATATATTAAATAATATATTAAAATAAATATATTAAAATAATACAGAATCAAATAAAATTCTTTGAATATACCAGGTATTAAACCAAAAATATTTCCAAAGATCAATAATGAAGATTATTTGGCCTAATCCAAAAAAATGTATGAATAGTCAAAAAATTCAATTAAATCAAAATAACTCTTTTATTTTATTGTAAACTTTGTAAAAAAATAAAACAAATAAAATGATTAATGTAAATGATTCAAAAATCAATATCTTACATAAAAATATATGCATGTCTATACCAAAAAGTTAAAACAATGAGTTGTAAATTACAGATAGAAATAATCGAATTTAATTTTAAATGATACTATATGTTAAACAAATTACATAAAGAAAATAAAAGCACAAATGAAAATAAATCTTAAAATAAAAGTATTTGTCCATAACATCAGAATACACAACAATAATAAGAAATCAACAGTAATGAAAATAAATAAAATTATTATTTTAGGGTGAATAATGAAATAAATTACATAAATAAGAACTAAACTAAAGAAAGTAAACTAGATATAAGAACTAAATAAATAATAACAATTAAAAAAAAATTACAATAAATTATTAAATTACAATAAAAAATAAAAATTATTTTAAATAATCCAATACATATATATAAAACCTAAAGTATAAATAAGTCCAATTTATAAATGAATTACGATAAATAATATTAAAATTACTTGAATGCTTACACTGCAATAAAAATAAAATACAAAATATAAAAAAAAGATAAAAAATTTAAAGGAAAATAAAATAAAAAATCAAAATAAGTGAAATATCAAAGTAAGAACAATGAAAAATCAAAATTAAGTATAAATATATAATATAATTAAAAAAAATTTCATGAAAAATTTATTTATTTTATCTATGTCAGGTATTTTGTTCATTTCTATTTCACATTTTAAAAATATTTTTATATTTTAAATAAGAGTAGTCTTGCAAGAAATTATATTCTTTTAAAATCTATGATTCTATTTCTGCAGATTTACTCACAGTTTATTGTTCATATCAGGTTATTAGGGTTAGGAAAGGTTAGCATCCAGTAGATTTGCTTTACACTTTTTAATGCCAGTTAATCAGACTTTTTATAAATAAAAGAAGCAATAAATTTACAGCACTTTGAAATTTTAGAATAAGCCTTCGTACTCAAACGTATATTAGTCCTATTTGAAAAGTGCTTAAGAAATTTTTAAAAAAATTCAAACTTTCAAATATATATGCTAAGGAGTATTAGATAGAACCTAGTGAACTCACCGTTTTTAATGCTCGGTTCACGTTTTATAGAGGGAGTTTTGCGTAATTGCTTCGTTTTGAATTCTGGCTTTGGCTCCTCTTTGGGTTCTTTAAGAAATTCTTCAATTTTCGAAACTTTTTTCAAAGCCGGTCTTATTTTCAAAATATTTTCGGAACTTTTGGCAGGCAAGGGCTTTTCTTCACGTTTAACGTGTCGCAATTTTGGTTTTTCTAATTTAAAACGTAATCTACGTTCGCGTTCCTCATCAGTTTCACCGTCTACAAACTCATCTTCATCTTCTACATTTTTCATGGACTTATCGCGTTTAACTGCGACCGGGCGTAATTTAGGCTTTTCGATTGAGAAACGACGTTTTAATTCAGTATCATCAGTTTGTTTTTTGCGAGGTGTTGGTTTTAATTGTGGATGGGAGCTCAGGGTATCATCAAACTCAGACATATCTATATCTGATAAACCTTCTAAATCTGAAATACCTTTAAGTTCATCATCCTCTTCTTCCTCCTCTTCGGATTCGCTCTCAGTTTCTTCTTCTTCTTCAGTTTCTTCTTCTTCCTCAGTTTCTTCTTCTTCGGAGGATGATGGCGTCGGTTCTTTCTTTTTAGCAGCTGCACTTGTTTTTATAGTTGTTGTATTTGTTGTTGGCTTTTTAATTGGTTCGTTTATTTTTTTCACAGGTGCTACGATTTTTTTTACTGGCTCTACAATTTTTTTTGTAGCTTCAACTGTTTTCTTAACCGGTTCTACTGTTTTTTTGACCGGCTCCACAGTTTTCTTTGCTGGTTCCACTGTTTTTTTTGTGGGTTCCACTGTTTTCTTTGCTGGTTCGGTTGTCTTTTTGGGAGTCTCTACAGTTTTTTTAGCTGCACTGTCTGCAGTTGTTTTCTTTGCAGTTGTTGTGCTATTAGTGGTGGAGGCTGCAGCTTGTTCACCATTTTCCTTTTCTGCTGCATTTTTCTTAGCCCATGGAACGGAAGTTTTAACTGTGGACTTAAGTGCAGTTGTGCCATCATCCTTCACCCACGGTGGACGAAATGTAGTGCGTCCTGTGCTGTTGGATGTTGATGCTGTGCTATTGCCTTTTGGTGCAACAAAAGGCATTTTCGTTAATGTAATTTTTTACTTTTTGTTTAATTATCTTTGAAAAAAAATTTGTGGCTATTATTTTGCAAATTTTAAGCTGCAATTTTTTCTTTTACACTGCAAATTTACTTAAAACATTTTCTGTTGCACACTTAACACACTTTACGTAGAGTTTGCGATCTGTTTTATAAACAAAATATTTCGTGGAAAAAAATTTGTTTTTAAGTATTTTAGTAATTTTATTTTAACTTTTTTTTAAATTTATTTTTTGGAAATTTTGCCTT